CTTAAATTTGTATTTTTTCTTTTTCTTCCAATAAGGGGTTGTTTTCACCCCTTAAGAACAGAAAGCACACCTAGCGCATATATAAGTTTTGAAGTGGGGAGTGAGATGAGCCTAATTCTAAATTTTGAGAAAAATCGATGCAGTTATAAAATATTCGGAGGTATTACTATATTTTCAGCTACAGTAACTGGACTAGTAACACTGATCAAAATTCTAATATTTTTGTGGTACACAAAAGAGAAATAAACAAAATATTTACAAAACAAAACTAATAAAATAAATTAAAAATGTGTTTTTAATATTAACAAAATTAGTTCGACTGTGAAAACGTTAATAGGTAATAACCAATTTACAAATAATACCCGCTTGTTTAATAATATTTGTAATATTCTGAGGGAGATAAACTGCTATTTTATAAAAAAAAATAAATAAAAAATCGCCCAGAACTTGATATTTACTACCCACGTGTCTATTTCGTTAAGCAAATGTACGTTTTCCTATTTCTTCAATTAAAATATCTCTCGGCACTTCTTTAGCAATTTGAGAAAATAATTTAAAGGATGCGCCACACCAAAAGGACACGCATGATTAACTCAGGCGACGGTCTCCTTTACAGCATCCAGATGTAGCCCTGGGAATTTTGCTGGGTGTTAAAATTCTGGTGGCGCCAAGGTCTGTTTCAGACTAACCCAATTTGGAAATCAAATATAATTAAATACTTCGATTAAGTTATTCAATGAAGTATAAACTATTTTTTTAATATAAAAACTTGTTCACTGTAATTTATGCGGAAAAACACTGCAAAAATACCCCTTTGTGATGAAAAAGGGAATATGGGTGTATATATGGATAAATACATTATTTTACTATAATTTTTCAGGCAAAAAGAAATTATATACCTACTCATTTAACATACATGTGAGAAAAAAATTGTTATTATACTTATTTTCTACAGAATTCTTGATTTAATATTCAGAAAATTAAGCTTCAATAGTTTGAAACATAAAATTCAAAGCTTTAAAAAAGGTAGATATTTATGAATACATAGATCCAACGTATATTTTTCGTAATGCTAAAATGTATAGGTAAATGAAGTTGTGATTTAGATTTACTTAAATATGTGAAAAATATATGTCTAGTAAGGAAGTTCGGCGCCAAAAGTTGATCTCCAGACCAAAAGCTCCGACGATATTTAAAATTCCTCTCCAATTTGGAGAAAAATCCTAAATATTCGGTAGCAAAAACGAAATACGATGATTTATTAAGCCGCAACAAAATATGTAGGGCAGAAATTCCAGTAGCGATCCAATTTTACGTCAGCGTCATTAAATAAGATATATTTGTGAAACGAAATTATATACAGTATGATGCAAATGTATGGAATAAATTAATTATTTCATAAATAGGCACCTTTCGGAAAAAATCATAAAACAGGCCAATTTTAAATTTTGAAAGGACATCTTGAAAGACACTCTTATCAGTGTTGACGTAATGACGTAATCGACAATTTCTTTAAATACAAACAGGGGTCATCAATTGAAGGGTATCCTAATCGTCTGTACAATGGTATAATTATTAGAATATTTCTTCAGGGTAAATCAAAATTATGTATTTACTTAAATATAATGAAATTACGTCCTTTTAACTCTTCTAGACTATTTGGTCAACTTTGATAAACTTTGGTTTTCAAGTATCCCGACAAAAAGAAATCTAGTGGAGTCAGATCTGGAGACCTTGGTGGCCATTCGATCGATCCTCTCCTACCACGGAAAACGTTATTTAAGTAAGTTCGTACATCAACGGCATAGTGTGGAGGCGCCCCGTCTTGCTGAAACCACAAATCATTTCTATTTGGAAATAGCTGATTCAGTTGTGGCAACAGATGACCCTGCAGAAATTCTAGATATCGAGGACCAGTAAGTTCTCTTCGAAATGTATGGCCCTATAATCTGGTTGTTTATAATCCCGACCCAAACGTTCACCTTTTCTGGAACAGCTCTTGGACCAGATGTACTTTGTATGGATGCCACTTTCCCTTTTTTAGTACTCTAACAACAGCTGATTGGTGTAAATTATTATTATCCACTTTTGGGAAGATTTTTAATATGGCTCGTTTCTCGAAACTTTTTCTCAACTTTACTTATTATCACTAATTGAAAAACGGGTTCTCGATTGGGTTGTTTAGCATTAAATAAATTACAAACTTCTGTCCGAGTCCTTACTTTATCTCCTCAGCCAATTATGATTAAAATTTCGATTCGTTCGGTTTCTGTAAGCTTCATTAGTAAATTGTACTGATTTAAATATTTTATAACTATTTCACTCCTGTCAAATTGAACCAATTAGAATAGTAGAAACGCATTTTGTTTTGGTAATTAATAGTTACTTATACCATAAAGGAGGTAAGTATTATTTACCAGTCGAGGACGATTTTGCGTCCGAGCGGAGCGAGGGCTGGCAATAGAGTCCGAGACTGGTAAATTGTACTTAACTGTTGCGTTGCGCATAACATTTTATCTTATCTGCTTCCACAGTTCTTTACGGTTCATGAAATAAAGATTGGCGTTCCTCAATTCATTATCATTATTTATTTTTTGCTCACTAATTTGGGAACAAAAAAAGATATGGAACCCTTTTTGGCGTCAAAATGTAGCTATTTTTGTGCTCTTCAAACTAACCTCTAAAAAGTTTTATCCTGTTATTTCACATTTTTTAAGAAAACATGAAACAGCCTAAACTTGGGTAAATAGTACCAATAAATAACTAAGTAGACTATACCATTTAAACAACACGTACTTTCATTAGAAATTTCAAACTTATGCTATATTGATCAATTTTTTTTTCTGAATTTGTTCATGTAAAGAAAACTATAGCATTGCAAATAAAATTTTTGAGAATAATCCATAAAACGGCATTCTTTTGAAATAACGCCATCTATAGGTTTCCATGTTGAAGTAAATGACATTACGATTCACCACGAGATAAAACATGAAAAGACTTTTCCAACGAGGTATAACACTACGGGCTTTTGATGAGCCAGTCCATAAAAAAAAATGCATATTTCTGATCAGACATTAGGGACTTCCCCCACCTTTTCTGTCGAGAGATAGAACAAAATGTCAATAACAAAAGTTATGCCCAATGAATCCGGTTAGCCATATTAAATTTGTACTATTTAAGGAGGTATATCGGGTAGCGTATTACCCAGTGCTCCCTCCGTGCTTCATATTTTTTTGAATTTTTTTTTGAATCTAGATTATGAGATATTGTTGTTGAAAGTTGTTCATTTTAACATAGGTTTATATGGCGAAGATGGACGGTGCGGCTCTTTTTTTGCTCATAACTGAGAAAAAAATGTAGAAATTGTGAAACAAAACTTTTCCATAGATAGTATTTTCATAGTAGTATTATCTTATTTTTGATGTAAAACTAATGTAAGTTTTGAACATAGTACAGCTGTATTAATTAGAAACAGAAACCAATAATTGCATTTATGTCTGGCAACGACGCAATTAGCTGACAGCAAGGAGGGAATACATTTGAAAGACTTGATAAAAACGAAATTGATTTCAAACATATACATTTTTCCTAAATCCCATGTACATTGTTATCAACAATAAATTATCCACAACAGATGATCTTTTGTAATGTTTTTAAAAAACTAGATTAATTAAAAAAGACTAGGAAGCTGTGATATATTTATTGGAATAAAAAATACAGTTGATAAATCCTTTTAATATATTTAATGGTTTATAAAAACATCGTAATCATTACCCAGCAATATTTAGGGTTACATAAAGTTTTCTTTACTTAATTAATATAATTAGTAACACTTGAAATAAAAGCATTTGTACGGAATAACAAAGGAACATAAATATTTCTCAGCAAACTTTATATCTAAAAAATTAGTTATAGTTGCAAAACAGCGAGTAATAATGTAATTTCTATCACAGAACCTTCAAAATTGCATCCAACATTTTCTTCGACTTGGACGAGAGATGGGCGCGAGTGTCATTTCATTTCTTTAGAACTAAATTAACATCATTCTCGTCGTTTTACCAGTTCACATGATTTACGGATTTTAAATAAAGAATATAATTCTTCGCGAGTATAATACCATATATTTGTTATATATAATAATTATATTGTACATACATCTTACTTACATCTTTACCCGAATTTGACGCGCAATATCTCCGATTTACTCATATGCTATGTGCATATGAGTAAATTTATTTGCTATATAGATAATGTTTATCGCAATTTGAGTAGAATTAAATTTTTTCAAATTGGCAGCGGGCTTTAGTCCCATAAGCATAGGACCCCCCTGCGCTCCTCACTTCCCTCGGACCCCGATATACCTCCTTAATATACCTGAATAAGACACATTCCTGAGAAAAATTAAACTATATGTAGATTGCGCCCCCTAGCGGCCGAGCTACGGACTTGAAAACTATTTCCAGCGATTTCTCTTGGTCGATGTATTAAATAAATTTTTCTTGAAGGTCTAGGGCAAGGGTCGGCAACTGGCGGACCGCGGTCCAGATCCGGACCGCGGAAGGTAAAATACTGGACCGCCAGAAATTTTTTGAAAATATAAATTACTCAAATTATTTAAAAAATATTTTTTACGTTTGAGTGCTACCCTTATCATTTTTTCTAGTATTTTACAATTATTGTGACTGATTCGAGTTCTTAATGCAAATGAAAATAAAAAATTAGTAAGAAATATGAATTTTTTCTGGACCTCGTTAAAAAATTTCAAAAGTATCCGGACCCCATCTAAAATTACTTGCCGACCCCTGGTCTAGGGTCTATACTTACCCTAATACGTTACCTCGACGTCCTCAGTGGGACACCCTGTATATATTGAAGGGCGCAGCTCGAATAAGATTGTTTTAAATTTCTTTAGATATAGCCGAAAAACAAAACGCTAAACGAAACGTGAGCCTCGTGACGGTTTGATTGTAAGAAAACGAATCAAGTGAAAACAAACGACCTTTCGTTATAAAATTTTAATATTGCAAACATGTGGATATAAAAAATATTTACATAAAGTTAAATTACAATAAATGGGTAACAAAGTCAATGATACAAAAGGAGGCAGCTAGCAGCATTTAGACTTTACCGTCCGTCCGTGAGCGATGCTGTGTATGCTAATGTTAACAGTCTCTTCGTTGGCAGTATCTGTCGCCTCCAGTTCACTCGAAGTGGCCATGATATCGTCGTCGTACACTTTTAGCGTGTGGTTCGTTTTTTGGCCCGACAGTCGCAGCAGTCCCAACGCGATCTTTTCAAATATCAAACCAATACCCTAAAAAAGTAGTACGTTATATTACAAGTGAGTGAAATAAGCTATTATAAACAAATGAGATGTACGGCGCTTGCGCGAGTGTGGAAAATTTTCATGTGCTTCACTCCCACGCAGATCCGGCTTAAGGGAGGGCTCCGGGGCTGTGGCCCCAGGCCTCACGAGATCGGGGAACTAAAATGAATTTTAACTTTTTTATTTTTTTAAAAATCAAACTAAAAAGTGTTTAGGTTTTAAAATTGTATATCGATAAGTTGCTGATTGCGTGATTTTTTTTTTAGAATCAAACAAAAACCCGGTTAGGTTTTGACATTTATTTTTTTTTTTAGAAAAAGGGCCTGCGTAAAGCTTGTAGCTACGGCGACGTTTTGTCCAGCAGTTTTTTCACAAAAACCAACTTGGATATAGTTTAAAAAGTGGAGCATTCAACTCTTGCATGTCTACTTCAGTCGTCATGGATAGTTGACAAATAACAAATTTTCCGATTTTTATTTTGACGCGTGTATAGAACATACTGAAGTTTTTGCTTCAAAATATTCGACTGGAAGCCGAAGTTGCATCTTTGGGATTACTTCCGACAAACAAACAGGAAAAACGTTTCTTTGCGTATTTTTTACAAAAGATTGGTTACCAAATTATTGTTAATACGTTAATAAATTGTACTTTGTGGTATTTAGTCACGAAAATACAAGTCTTCGATGTCTAGGTCAAATTTACATTGAACGTCTACGAAAATATCGCAAGTTGACTCGCTTAATAAAATGTACGTAAAAGATAAAGACCTACTAATTCGTTATTGTATAGGGTGGACCAAATTCGACACTTCCCGGGGAGTTTCTACCGAGAAAAATTTAATGGCGAAAACAATATCATTTAAGAAATACAGGACATTTTTCAATTTTCACCGTCTTCTATGATGCTCCATACCTTTTTTTGTTTGTGAAGACATTTAATTTTTGTAGTTTTTTTTTACAGTTTTTTACTTAGAATCCGGCAGAGATGCTATATTTTTCTAAAATTTTCAGTTTTGCAGTTATAATTTCGAATAATATACCATATACAATATTTACTCAAACAAAATATTTTTTACATATAAATATTAAAAATTATTATTTTTTTATTCGATTGTTCGCCAAAATGATGAAATTCCACAATTTGTTTACTCTAATAAATCTCTTTATACATTGATAAATTAATATTTAGCCCAAAGCTTAACAAACCATTATTTTAACTAGTCACAGCACTTCTATTATACAAGATACAAACCTGATCTGCCATCGCAGAACACTCCATATACGAAGCGCCTATCGTCTTTGAATATTGCACAGCTTCATCCCTTGTGACCTAAAAAAATTGCCAAAATAAACTCTGATTGAGTTTTCTACACTTTTGTTCTAAATCATCGCGTAAATAGAAATCAACAAGACTGAGATCTGGCGACCTCGGCGGCCATTCTATTTGAAATAGATATATAAATTACTCCTTACAATGTCAATCAAAATTGAAGGGATCATATTTTTACACAAATTAGAACGATAACAACTAATCATCTTAAGATATTTCGATGTCCTTATTGACTAAGCACCTTCAATGACAAGCTGATATGACATCGATTAATTACAGATTATATGCTCTATCAAACGAAAAGTGATATACTTCCTTTGCTCATTTCGTAAAAGTGGTTATCTTATTTTATCACTAAACAAGAACCGTCTGATAACAAATAAAACAGAACGTAAAAATATACGATATAACTTCTAAAAGTCTTAACACATTATAGAAATAATGACAGTGATGAGATTATAAAAAAACTATAATTTCACAAAAAAAAAATAATTAAACTTTGATTGTGAATAGCAGACTTTATTTTGAGAATTCGTATATAAAATGCAATATATGTATTGTGTTTTATTTTACTTATTATTTCACAGTTCATTTGAAATTTATTTAAATGTAATGTATATAAAGAATAATGTAAACAGAGATAAAAATTAAGTAGGAATTACATGAATTTTGTCATTTATGCTCTTTAAAACCAACATTTAGGCATTCTAAAAACCAACTTCAAAAGGAAACTATTAATTCATAATTAATAGCAACTACTCTGCGGACTAAAGCCTTAATCTATACAGAACATCACATTTTTAACATTGTTGCTCCAAAATTTCACTTTTTTGTAGTTGATTACTTGTTTTTTTCTAATTTATTGTTTGTTAGTTATTATGTGGTGTGAATAAAGCCTTTATAACAATATTTTAAAATAATTTTTTGTCTCAGTGTAATTTAAATAAAATAATAATTTTTTCCTGTTACATCCTACGTTGCATATTGAAGTCGACATGTCTCGAAAACAAGTAAATATTGGAAAAAACATTATATTACAAAAATTACTTTAACGATCTTTCAGATGGACCGCATTTCCACGTTTCAGGAATCAAAAAATTTTTAGTATCACCACGCCATCTATACAGAAGGATTTAAACTAACAAAAATAAATTTCTTCATTTCGGAGATATTGGTAGCGGGAGTGTTAAATGGCACACCCTGTATATAATTTAATGTCTACGAACATATACAGGGTGTTTTGAAAAAAGTACCATAAATTCAGGGTATGGTAGAATATGAAAAATTAACCCATTAACGCCGATAAAAAAAAATCAAAAAATTATGCAAATTTTTAATACAAATAAGTAGTAAACATCTTTATTTAACATATTTAGTCAACTTAAAATATTTTTTTTCTAAATTAACCGAAAAACAAGGTGTTCCCATATGGGACCTTTAGGCGTAACGTCACTAGAAATGAGCAACAATGAAAAAAGTAAAAAGCAACTTGTTCTTTTAACGAAACCTTAAAATAATGAGTAAATATTATTACTGAGTATGAAACTTTCGAAAACAGTCAACACATAAGCCGATATTACATTTGCAGCACATTGTTCTTCCTCGGCTGCTACAGTTTTCACCACCACATCGTCTTCTTTTACCTTCAAGAATAGTGGTTACATAATGATGCATGCCATCATACCTTATATCGTTACTGACTCGAAAATCACTTGCTACTGCCCGAGGTATTCGTCCTGTAGCGCGAGCTGGTACTTTATACCTCGTTAGATATATGAAAATAAATTTAAAAAAAAACGTCAAAATATGATTCCTCTACAAATTGTTGGTTTTACTCTACCTGCAATATATTTCTCCTAAAGTCAAGTTGACAAACGCTCCCTGAAGGGTAACTCCAGTAAAAGAAGATTTACAGAAGATATTAGTTCAACCGAGCTACTGCCTAACGGGCCCATATGGGAACATCAATGTTTACAACAATATTATACATAAACAGATAATCAATTAAATTATTCTCGAATAGGAATATGTTTTTGGATATAATAGTGTAATAAAACACTAAAAGCAACTAGTATAGAATAAAATATCTAATAATTATTATACTTTCACGAAGTTGATGTCCATATTTTCAACAAACTCGTACAAACAAGTTTTTCACTCGATACAAAAAAATGTCAAATGTAAACAAAACACCGCATGAACTCTCCTAAGGGCTTCATAAATCATACTGAAGACGTGCAAATAATCAGATTGACGAAAGCTGGCAAAAAATCACTCTCAAATCCCACTTTTTATCTTGACGTTTATTGGCTCCATATGGTACCTTTAGGCGCTAATGGGTTAAGAACCTTTGAGATGCAGCATGTTGAATATGATTTTTTTAAATCAAATTCTAGTCATACCTATTCTATAAAAAAAATTGGTACAGAAAAGTTTTTGAGCCATTAAATATGTTGGCATTACCTGTTTGTTGTATGTAGTGGTATTTTATTGCATAGCTTTTTTGAGGTTAGATTTTTTTAAGATGTATGTCCTATATTTATATTATAATGTAAAATTTTATTTAATTTAAAAAGGTACGCAATTGACTGCCCCAAAGTCAATCACGGATACAGGGTGTATGGAAAATGAATAGGTCATACTTTAGATCAAGTTACTTTAGCTTGTTTCATAAAAAAGTACGTTATTAAAATGGAATTAAAAAATTATCCCAATAACTTTTTAAAGAAGCAAAAATGGTAAAACTACTATAATTTGATTTAAATAAACTTTCTTTGGCACCATATATCTCAAAAAACAATGAGTGACCGCAAAAATCGCCCGTTTTTTCACAATTCGCAGAGAACTAAAAAAAAATAGATAAAAATATGTTTTTGGCCTCAAATTACTCGTCGTAAAAAATTAAGATGAACATTGTTTTTTGAAAATTTTCAAAAATCACCCCTATTCAGGGGTTGAAAAGACGCCCAAAATGAAGAATTGAATATTACCAATAAATATAAAAACTATTAGCATGTGAATTTTTCTATCGAATGATTCTTGATACAAAGAAAGATTTACTCTCATGACTGAAATAAGCATGTTGAATTAGAAATTCCACCCTTAAGCGCGCTCAGGGGGTGGAATCATCCCCAAAAATAGAGCATATCAGAAATAATTGTAAAAATTCCAATAAAAATATATTAGATAACTTACATGCTAATAGTTTTTATATCAATTGGTAATATTCAAATTCTTCATTTTTAGCATTTTTTCAACCCCTAAGTAGGGGTGATATTTAAAATTTTCAAAATACTAAATAAAAGCTATGCCCATTTCAGTTTTTTACAAGTAATTTGAGACCAAAAACATATTTTTATGTATTTTTTTTAATTCTCCGTGAATTGTGAAAAAACGGGCGAAAATCTCAGGTTTTTTGCGGTCACTCTTTGTGTTATGTTCTTTCCATCTTTAAATTTGTGGTAACTTTCTCCAAAACACCTTGTATGTGGTTCATAGTGCGAGTTTATCTTTGCCAAAAAGATGATTTGTTTTTTTAAATTAATAACGTTGGGATAGATTGTTTTTTTGGTAAATGTCAATATTCCCACAAAATCATTAGTTAATTAATAGCTTATCTTTAACCTTGCTCTTTAGTATATCTAGATGTTAGTATCAAAGAGCTATTATTATGACTTCATATTTTAGGTACTATGAAAACATGATCAGTGTCGCCCCTATGAGGACGAANTACATATGTATTTAATTCACTTAGATTACATATTTTAATAATTTAATATAATAATTAAATATAATAATTTATTGTTTTTTAATAAATCATAGTATGTACAATGCATGTATGTACATACAATTTAATTCACTTAGATTATTTCAATATTTTCACCTACTATAGGCCGGACAACTCGTTAATCCGACCGACCCTAAAACTATATGTGTCCGGATTGTCGAAGTTGCACTGTACTAAATAAAAGCTATGCTCATTTCAGTTTTTTACGACAAGTAATTTGCGACCAAAAACATATTTTTATGTATTTTTTAAATTCTCTGCGAATTGTGAAAAAACGGGCGCAAATCACAGGTTTTTGGCAGTCACTCTTTGTGTTACGTTCTTTCCATCTTTAAATTTGTGGTACCTTTCTCCAAAACACCCTATATGTTGTGGTTCATGGTACGAGTTTATATTTGTCAATAAGAACAATTGTTTTTTTTTTTATTAATAACGCTGGGATAGATTGTTTTTTTGGTAATTGTCAATGTTCCCACAAAATCATTAGTTAATTAATAGCTTATCTTTGACCTTGCTCTTTAGTATATCTAGATGTTAGTGTCAAAGAGCCATTATTATGACTTCATATTTTAGGTACTATGAAAACATGATCAGTGTCGCCCCTATGAGGACGAAACCTAGGTTGTAAGTGATGATATTACCAGAAACAACTACTCTAGGTGATATACATTGTGGAACATTTTGGTAACGCATGTATTGGTATCTTAGAAACTATTAAGAGATAGGAATGGTTGAATGGAGAAAGTTTTAGAGAGTTCTGTTCCTAACTTAACGTCGCTTGCAAAGTAGTCCTAGCTCTTCAGGTTTTTGAGTTATTTTGAAAAAAAATAAATGTGGTGTTTTCGAAAATCCATAACTTTTTTAATTAGAGGAATTTTGGAATCTGAAAATAGTCTACACTAACCTCACCTAGCAATGAATTACACAAGCAATATCATTCAATACAGCTAGGATCATTTGTCAGCCAAAGACACCAGACATATACTGGTTTCCGACTTATTAGCCCTCATCAGTACCACATCGGTGCCAGTAGTTGTTTCTGGCAATATACTTAAAAATTAATTACAATTAGCTTAATTCCTTTTAAATTAAAGTAACAGTTATGTGGAAATCAAAAATGTATTTTTTTATTAAGTTTCTAGGAAAGCCAATATTATTATCTAGGGAGATAAGATAAGCAGGAGTTTTCAACAATTTTTTAAACTTTCACAGAATCGTATTGTCTCAAACTGGGTATTTTGTAGTCTACGATTACTATTGAATTTATCTCGAACTTGAAACTACTTACACGGGAGTACTGGAAAAAATCAAGGTCACCTCGTCATTCATAGAATAAAAAAACGTATTCCTTTCGGACCTGGAAACTTACTTGTCTCTTATCAGCTAAATCTATCTTATTCCCAACCACACACAGAACCATCGGTTCGTCTACGTTCCTCTTAAGTTCCTGTACCCAACCCTTCATGCTTTCGAACGAAGAACTCGACGTTATGTCGAATATTAAGAGAGCTGCGTTCGCATTTCTGTAAAACATCGGGGCCATCGCCTTGAACCGTTCCTGTCCGGCAGTGTCCCATATCTGAGATGGATTTATGACGTTAAAATTGATCTGCTTATCAAAAGCGTCTCAGACAAGAATTAAATACTGAATAGTATTTTCGGTTGTAAATGTTTTTATGATTTACAGCTACCTATAAGGTTGGGAATATTTGTTTTACCTGTAAGGTGACTTGAGTACCTTCTATGTTTAATTTACAGCTGAAAAAAGAAGCACCAACAGTTGGAGCGATCTGCTTTGAAAACGTATTTTCTACGTATCGTATCACAGTGCAAGTTTTACCGACACCTAGAACAATAAGGAAATTCTTTAGAAAATTACCCTTAATGCAAAGCATTTATTAATAAATTATTAAATACCAAAAATTAATATTCGTGATTGGTGATGTATATCAATGTAAATATTTTTACAAAACATATTCTATTTTTATCTGAGTAATAGGAATTACCGAAAAACAATCCAATGATATCACTAAATTAGTTCATGATCTGCAAATTAATGGTACAACATAGCTTAATTAAGGAAAAATCTGATGTGTATTTCATTTTTTAAATATTTATCACCTATTTGCTTCCCCTGAACATACTAAGGATTAACAAAGTTATAATTATCATATTCAATTAGACATTATAAACGCAAAAAAAATCTATATGCGTAAAAAAATATACTTAAGACAAATGACGAAATTAATAAAAACATAACCTACCTTGATAACCCAGCACCACGACTTTTCCAATAATAGTTTTCATTTTTATTAAACATTAGTTTAAAATGTTACTGTTACTGTATTTCGCTTACACACCATTTATTTACTGTTTACAATACTCCTTTGTACTTTTTTTTCATGTTTATCAAATCAGATGATAGGATGTTGCGTTTCATTTGACAGTTCCAAAAATATCTGTCCTTGTAGCAGATATGAACTCTTCCACTAACGACCGTCTTTGAGGAAAAAAAATAATTAACTATTACATTTAGAACAATTACAATCACTAAATTTTAAGACAAATGATAACATTATAATGAATGCATTTAAAAATTTAACAAAATCATAATATCTTACAGAACTTAGATCTTTATATTGTGGCACTATCTCTGAGCGACTGGAGTAAATAAAATTGCAGTTTCTTATATCTGCTTATGGCCATCTGGTACTAAATAGATCTATTTCACTGTTTTGCAGTTGTTCAGAATTTATTTTCAGCGCCATCTACTAATGAGTATATTAATCACTAATTCTTGATGTACCTACGCATTTTACAGAATCATTTTCTACAAATCTGCTTAAAAATTTCTTTAACTATTCAATTTATTTCTTATCTGTAGAGTGCAGTACTATTTTATATTCGTTATTACTCATTTTTTGAACGTCAAAAAATTGTAGAATTAGACCTCTTTCCCTTCTGTTTTTCATCAACCCATTTTTGTCGATTTGAAAATCAACGATCCATACGTACATATTTACTTGCAAAATTATATTTAAAATATATTTAAGAATATAATACCAAACATTTTAAACATTTTCATTTTGAATTCAATAATCCATATTTTTTTATTTTGTATAAACTATTGAAAGCAGCCCCTACCATGTTTTTTATTCCTTTATTTACTATCGTGTTGTATCGAATATACCTATAGATTTATATCTGTAGATTATGTGGCTGTAATTAATAAATTTAATAAGTTTTCTAGAATACTAGGTAGGTACACATTTCTTCTGCCATTAGTTTCTCTTTTAAAAATTAATTGTGAGGATCATCGATTGATATTTTTTCTTTGTTCAATTGAAACAATAAAAATATATGTTGATTTTTGCTATTGAAAATGTTAGAAATTGTTAATTTTTTAAGAATTAATAAAAGTTTCTAAAGGTATTAAAACTTTGAAATGAACAGGCAAATGTTATAATGAATGCATTTTTCATCTCTCAGAAACAATTTATCACATATAGGTATATTTGCATTTGTATTTAAACACAAACACGCATTATTATCCGTGTTTCAGCTAAGCAATACAACTTTTTTATTTGGACTATCAAAATGGTACGAGGACTCGAGTATGTAGCAGCACTAGCGCCATCTACTCGTCACTAGCGCTAGTTCTCTATAAATCAATGGTATTGACGTATACAGGAATCTGCGGACAGCGCTTTAAAACATATTCGGAATAAATGCAAAAATCTACACTAGACCTTCGTGCATCTACTCGTGACCTAAGCACTCTTTGATTTCTCCTCTCGGAAATCCACGGGTCCGTTCATTTGTCAAGAACTTGTAATTCCATCGCCGTCTAACATTAATAGCATCATCGGAATCTAACTAGGGATCGCTGAACACATTTCCCTAATCCGATGAAATAAATTGCGAGCTACCCAAGCCAGCCGAGACGCCACTAACGTTTCCTAAACGCCAAAGCAGCCCGTGGCGGATGTTGATTGGTAATTGTTTCCCTGGGGCTGCCGACGCCCAATCAACGAGCGAGAGTAGTGGCGCGGAAAGCGGCACTCCGATTCTACTCCTTCGGAATAATAATGACCCGCTATGATCCGGACGATGGCAACTTAACCGCATTGGAAACACCCGCGATACCCGTTTAATATCGGAAGTCGAAGGATCCTTGGTGGAAGACGGTCGGAAGGCGTTATTTTACTTTGTAGCCTTCCATGTAAAGGACCCAAATGAAAAACAACAATAAATAAATTCGTTACTTCAAAAAATTGTCTATTCTGAAGAGAGAGAGTTGAGAAAAATATTGTAACGAATTTGAAATGTTTATGTAGAAACTCATGAAAATATTGCCTGACTGAACTTAAAGTCGTATAAAAATTTTAATTATTATTATAGCAACACCAAATTTGTATAAAATTGTTAATATGGATATTCTGAATATAAAACTAGTAATGATCAATGATATTACATAGTATAAAAATAATAATCTTTTAATTTTATTCTCAAGTACAGAATAAATTTTCATAAAATGCATGACGTCGACACTTGTTAGTACTCAGTACATAGAGAAAAACGAATCTAAACCTAGAGTGACTTATATCGAATGAAAGTTTAAAGTCTATAGATTAATCTGGTATACATATCGTTGGAAGACGAGTAAACTTAAAGAAGATATCTCAATCCAACATAAACCATAACATGAAAATTTTCATCAATTGTCAAATTTTATAATAAATTTCACAAATGTCAAAGCTAAAGGTGGCTTTGTAAGAATACCCGGAGATGACCTAAAAAACATAAAATAAAGAATATTTTATTAATTAATTTATAGAATTGTATATAAAAATAAAAGGACATTTGTTAAAAATGTGTTTGTTATATGTAGTGTTGTGAAAAAGTGACTGAAAAGGACATCCAAAGACTGAAAAATTCTGTGTATGGACTTTAAGTAAAGCTAGGGACAGAATATTCAGGAAGGATGAGAAAAACAAAAGAAATATTGATTGGTTACGTCTTGGGTTTTGGAAAATGCACAGCGTGGAGAGGCAGCCCCCGAAAAATAAAGCAATAAAAAACAGTCCAAGAAACAAAATTAAACATTCACCAGTTAAATCCACAGTTTACCAGAGTCCAGAAAAAGTTATTTTGCCATCCCATGAAAAATTTCCGCTACCAGCAGTATAAAGCAGTTCCAAAGCAGTTTTCAGTGGCCCCATAAATAGTCTGCAAGGCCTCTACCTAGTTTCCAGCAGAGAAAACTTCAAATTTTACAACGTACCAGGTATCTAAAACACAGTACACTATAATATTGCTAGCTATCACCCATAAATCATGCTTTCTCTCGCATCAAATCTTTGCAAAGTATAAATAACAAACCACAGGACTTAAATATTTCACTATTTTCACGAGCTCTGAAAAATCTGTCAAATGAACATTCATTTTCGTTCCCGTTTAGATATAAGAGATGTCCCTGTCTGACATGCTGCCGCAACTTTTCGGAAAAAAAAAAAATTTTCATCTTCTACACGAATTTTAAAAAACAGGAAAAAAGGGTAATTTATGGTTTTTTTTGAAAATTGACGGCTAAATTAGAATTATTCATGAAATGACTAATGTTAAGCATGACTTTTACAGTTTGATATACCCAGAAGAACCCTGTGAAGTTTCATCTCGATCTAGCGAACCGTTTCTTTGTTTCAAACAGTCAAACTTTTGAAAAAATTAAAGGGTCACGTTTTTTAGTTTAAACACTTCATTATCATGATTAAAATGGAAAAAAAAATTTCAGAGAAGAAAACGGGTAATTTTGAAAAAAAAACTGTTTTTTAAGTGATTACAGACTGCACAAAAATTAATTAGAAATTTGTCTCAAAAAACGGTATGAATCGGGAACGAAATCTGGTTTGGGTCATCAAGCATATACAATTGGATTTTGTTTTATTCAATGTCCGGAAGGTTTTCCAAAAAAAAACTAATTAAACTTCAAAAATTTCGAAAATTTTTCGAAAAATTTTTTTTGTTTTTTTTCATCAATTTAAACGTGGTGGTGCGGTAAAAACGAGGGTAAACCGCTACCTGAATTCTGTACAAAAACTTCTCTATACTTCCTCAAACTTCCTCGGACCTTCTCTAGACTGCTTTGTAATTCCTCCACATAAATGTTTAACATTCTCCGCATTTTTCTACCACGATTAACCTCGGTATTAACCATTTTTGTTCAAAGGACGTTTCAACTCTGTGACAAGCGCACGCTTGAATCCATATTTTGGTCAGTTTTGAGATTTGTAAGGATGAAAATGTGAGATATTTCTCTCCCTGATGCCCAAAAACCCAAACTTTTATCGTAAATACGATCAATTGTGTTTTGTCTAAGTGTCTATAAGAGCGTAATTAATATAATGCAAAATATCTTTTCAATCCTAGATATTGCTCAGGATCTAGCGGTGTTTTCGTGACTATTGCTCATTTGTCATGTTTCTAATTTTATAATATATTCCTTTCAACTTCCTTATAACTTCCTCCAACTTCTTCCCGACTTCCTGGGGACATGTACAAAAACTTCCCCAGCGGTTTACTCCTCGGGTAAAAACGTGAGAAAACCTCATATTTTGTATCAGCATTTTTCAATATTTAACCAGTTCTGCCATGCACTGTTTAATTAGGTAATCTGAGAATTTCCTTTAAAAACAATCTATGAGATAACAAATATAAAGAATTATTAGTCCAGAAAATAAAGACAAATATACAAAGTAACCAAGGAATATAATTTTTAATTTAACCCTATTGTTATCGATTTGCGTCTAATATTTAATGAACATTTTGTTGAAAATCCTAAATCTGTATCACTATTTCAAGAACAACAGAGAACTATGAATTTGTTTACAGCTATGTACAATATTCTGATGATGGCCTATTTTGTTTGGAACAAGACACTGAACCTATACGTAATTGTAAATGAATATCCGTCGATTAAATTTGAGCAAAATCAGTTCTAATGACTCCATGATTTATTTGCAAACATATTAAGGGTAAATCTATTTTGCCATTTAAAGCCGTTTTAATTTCGCCGAAGATTACTCGTCGTCATTTCTCTAACAAAAAGTATTTATTACCCAAATATATTTACAGCCTTGCTTAAATAATAAAAGTCATATAGAAAGGATGTTGATTACGACGACATGATGTTATAAGATTCTTTATTGTATTATAATTATTAATTTTCACTAATTATAAGATCAGGACAGCGATAAAAATGTAATTTAATTATCGCAATTATCTTTTGAGGGGATTTTCGAGATTACACTTGATCGATTGGATTTCTGTGTAATTTAAATATAATCTGTGAGATAGTGTAAATCCGCAGATAATCTTCTATGGATGTAAGCAAGTCACAAGTTTAATCTATAAAAATATATTTATTAAATCTGATTTGGGTTACGCATCGTTATGGCTACAATAATTTCGCCTTGGCCGAAATTGAATTTGTTTTTTGAGACGTAGATGAATTTATATTTCTAGAGCTTACCGACTAAATATTTATTATCGTTATTATTATTATTAATTTAATAAAGTGAGACGAACAGACATAAGCTTTGCACA